CCCCGGTTTCGGAGCTCAACTGGGACGAGCTGGAGCTGATCGTGGAGCGACTGCCTCAGGCACCGTACGAGCGCAGCCCCGTGGGCTGGGCCGGGCCGCTGGCGCTCGGCTTCTTCGCCGGCTTTGTGGGGTCACTGGGCGCCGGGGCGCTGCTCACCCTGCTCATCCTGTGGATCACGGGCGGCGATGGCGATGGGGTGCAGCTCTGCAGCCCCGGCCCGCCCGCCACTGCCCGGCTCAGGCCAGCCGAGGCGCACGGCCCGTGGGAGGCACAGCCGCTCTTGACTGAAGAGCAGCTCGCGTCTCCCGGGGCCTGGGCCCATTCGGCCTGGGCTGCCCATGGGCCAGATCCTCCCTCACCCCAGTGCCCCCGGCTGTAAAGTGGGCACAATCCTGGTGGAGTGTTACCTTTGACGTATTATAAAAAAAGTTACAAAACACGCAAAGGAGGGAGCAATCGGTTTGTTAGTTCGTTGGAAGGGCCGGCACAGCCAGGGGCCCTGTAAATAGGAGGAAAGCCTGGGTGCCAGTCTACCAGCAGGGTAGGAGGCAGGCCCTCCCAATTCTTGTCAGCTTTAATTCCTTATTTCGAAATTATTCTTCCACTACGAGCTACCACTTACTGAGCACTGTGTGCCAGGTCCTATGCTAAGCAGTTACATATATTATTTGACCTAATTTTCAAAACCCAAGACAGAAGGTATTATCTCCATTACACATAAGGAAACTCTGGTTAGGTGCTCCTAAACCGCATCTGCTTAGTGGCATAGTTAGGTTTTTGAACCCAGAGCTGCTTGCGCTGCGAGTATTAGCTCCAGAGAAAATGATCCGTGAGCAGTAAAGGAGCTTGGGAAGCATAACGGGACCAGAACAAAATGCTGGCTCTGTTTATTCCGAGGCTCTGCTGGAGTGTATAGGGGGTGCTACAGCTAGAGGTGCGCCCACTTCCAGGGGCTGCTGCCTCCAAGCTTCTCTCCCCACTCTGGCAAGGCCTCCTGAAGGTCCACCAGAGCCCCAAACCTTTCCCACCCACCTGAATGGCTGGGGCACTGACAGCCCATCCAAGGACCTGAGCCTGGGTGAGCCCTCACACAGACTCTGCTCAGACTAGGTCCCCTGTCCCAGGGGGAGGCAAGAGAACAGCTGTGGGGTCCTGCTGGGTGGGAGCGCTTGACTTCCCATCCACCCTTGGCTAAGGGGCTTTGGCGTGAGAGCAATGACAGAATGACAGGCCAGTCCAAGAGGAGAGTTGAAAACAAGATCGACGTAACCCTTTATTGCAAATTCTAAAGTAAAAAGATGTACAGTACAAAGTAAAATTGAAATTTCAGACTATAAACTTCCAATCCACTTATACATTCTCATTTCTCAAGCATTTCTGCCATTTCCGTGTAAACGGAACAGGGAACAAGTCGAGGTGGTGAGGGAAGGAGATACAGCAAGGGGAAACAATTGTCTAGAATAATCACAAACCCTAGAAGCAAGTGAAAGGAAAGATATTTTCTCGACCTGCTGTCCTGGTGATGAGAAGCGGGGGGTGGTTGGAGCAGTGCAGTTTAAAATGGCTCTCAGAATAGCAGCATTTATGATACCATTTTATCTTCCTGAAGTCCAAGTAATACTTTGCCCTTCCCTAGTGCCTTTGCCTCTGTATCTCAAAACACTTTACACAACATTTAGGTAAAGCCTCACAACACCCCTGTGAGGTAGGTCAGTATTATTATCCCCATTTTACAGATGGGGAAACTGAGGCACAGAGAGGTTAAGTGACTTGCCCAAGGCCACACAGCGAGCCAGCGGTCGAGCTGGGAATAGAACACAGGAGTTCTGTCCCTTTTCTGGAACCACTGGACCCCGCTCCCCTTTACCTATATACATTCTTCACACACACACACGTGCACACCCGCCCACCCCACCCCACTTAGCCTCTATGTACAGCAAA